TTCTTATTTCAAGGTGTTGATCATAATCTAGGAATCTCAGAACCTGGGTTGAATAAAACAGGACCAGTTTTTGTACCTTTACTCAGTTAGTGGGCTTAGTCTGTTCCTTAGTATTACTTAGTAAAGTTTAAAGATAATTTTGCATACTTTGGGGCAGATTGAGTACACTTTGCGGCCATAGACAAACTGGTTCCCGTTACATTTTTTTCTTCCTAAATGGTGATGTTAATGGTAACCTAACAACAAAACTTTATGATAAACGTGATGACTTCAACTTTTCTATTGTTAACTCCCCTTACTTAAGTAGCAATATATCCATATCACCTGCATATGGAGTTTATGTTTTCCATTTGATTCGAAATGCAAGAGCAAGCTCTACGTACGAACATTTTAAAACGAGGCAAGCTATTGACAAACAAGTTGAAACAAGAATATTAACAGTCTCGTTTAAAGTCATTTCTACAAGGACCTTATCTGTGAATACAATCTAACATTTAGTCGAATGCTGACTGACGTTTTTTATACTAATTGTTAGGCCACTATTTACACATTGACTTGTCTACGGATTTTTCCATTTAACTGATCATGACAAGGAGCACATAGCGAGTGTGACCGGTCGGCAGGGGATGCTTACTCCTCCATGGCGTCTGCTTCTTCTGCTCCTGATTTGTACTTTTTTATGGACCTTTGAGCTTCATTGCAGTTCGTTATCTCTATATTTGATCAAAACATACAACTTTTTCAACACTCTATACAACATGAGGGGTTTTTTACCTCATAGACAGCAGCATTTTAATACAAATGGAACTCGTTAATTTATGTACCTTGTCAATGGTTATTTGCAAAATTATTTGGTTAAAAACGTTCTGATTGCTCACAAGTACTCCAAAAGTGATATATAAAAGATGCATGAGTTTCCTATTGACAATATATATGTAGTTTATGGAATTCAGGTCTTCCAACAATCTGTTGGAATTCTTATGGCTACCAATTACGCCCCGTTACTAACAGACCTAATTTTGTATTCATATAAGCAGAATTTACTGGAAAACTTCTACAAGAAAAGAAGAAGTATCTCTGTGGCCTTTAATTCTAATATTAAGATATATGGACGACGTTTTTTCAATTAACAATATTTCTTTTCATTCCTACGTTGAATCAGTATATCCCTCTGAACTCGAAAAAAAATACCACAAAGTCTGATACATCTGTTTCATATTTGGATATTTTTAAACTAGAAAAAAGGACGTTAATGGTAATCTTATAAAAAAAAAATACCACAAAGTCTGATACATCTGTTTCATATTTGGATATTTTTAAACTAGAAAAACAAAGTCTGATACATCTGTTTCATATTTGGATATTTTTAAACTAGAAAAAAGGACGTTATTGGTAATCTTATAACAAAACCTTTTGATAATCGTGATGACTTAAACTTTTCAACTTCCCCTATTTATGAAGCAATATACTCTTACCACCTGCATATGGAGTTTATGTCTCCCAATTGATTAGTTACGCAAGAGCATGATTACGAACGAACAATTAAGCTGGATTCTATCGAATGTAAAGGAATACTGTTAATATGTTAAATCGTCGTAGATATATCTGAATCAACAAGAAATTTCTTCTTCTCATGTAATGAAGGAGCACAATTTGTAGGATTTTTAGGAAAATATATATACTGTCAAAAATTTCTTTAGCATTTATAGAGATATTGATCAATGCAGTTAGTTTACATATAGTCTTCTAATTATCATGCAATTAATTTTTAATACATGATTTCTTTCAATGTATAAATAAAATAAATATTAAAGTTTCGCAAGATAAAGTCACTGCTATCTGCTGAAAATAATTGCTTAGTTTATTTCGGAAAAAAATCAAATGCTTTAAAGTCAATTCACATCCTTGTTTCGCATTCCCTAAATGAATAAATTAATCATTACTGAAAGATAAATTCATTGTAGTTTACATGTATATGTTCAAGGTCGTGTAAATTTATGTTATGATATATACCACTTGCAGCTGTTTAATTTTACTCGCACTTGTCACTGATCATTGCATTGAATAATCATGTTGGTTGAAAATAATTAAATCAAAGTTTCTTTAATAGCTCTTTTTTGTTGAATTATCATGCATTAAACCTTAATGTCAGTTAGGTAATAAAAAAAAAATGTTAATCATTTTAAAAAAAAAGTTTCTTCTAGAAAGCTTGGTGCCTTACAATTCATGTTTTGTTTGTTAGGTGAACGTTATATTTGTTAGGTGAAAGTTATCTTTATATTAAAATTCCACGTCGATTAAAAAATTGTAAATATACCCGTTTTGCAAGGATTTAATTCATGCGGTTTTAGCTAATTTATACGATAATTACTCTTCTAATCAATAATAAATGTTACAATAAGTAATGAGAGAGAGAGAGAGATTGACGGACGGAAGGACGGACGGACAGACAGACGGAAATTTGATATTAATCTCTATACATGTATGTGTTATCATATTGTGACGATTGAACAGCTTATCTCTTTGTTTCAGTGTCAACTAAAATGATCCGTGGTAAAAAAAAAAAAAAAATCAATAGAAGAAATATACATTTTGGTGTCAATTTTAAAAATTATAATTATAGGCCTTATAAGACAGAATATTTAACTTTTTGATTGGAGTTACGAAAATCATTCAGTGAAATGAAATTCGATTCATAGTAAAAAAGAAAACATTCAAAGTTTGTGAACGTTTTATGGATGAATACCTGCCAAGCCCTTTCTTATTTCATTCATTAGGTCCTACAATCCTGACATTTAATATCAGCCCCCGCCTCAAACTGGTTTGAATGGTAGGTGATTCCCCGTAACCCAGAGCATGACTAAAATGTACCCGATTAAGATCTACTGCTTCGTCGTTTTCATCATGCTAACTGATTATGCGTTATTTCACATTTCATTGAAATGTTTGCTTTTTCTTTTTTTCTACTTAAACAGTTATTTGTAAGTTAAAAAAAAATAGATAAGTTAGATAAGTTACTGCTATCTATCAAACATTGCCCAATCACTCTGGATTGCATTGTGTGATTCTTGAACATACAAGTGTGTATAGTTAAACTTATTTAAAGACGTTTAACAACATATCCCGAATTTTATTCAAATTTCATTTTGATTGACAAGCTTTAGAAATCTTTCACAGTCTTGGAAATGCAGTAAAAATAATCTGCAACATTAGGGTTTCCATAATCCTAACAATAGGTTCATGTCAAGGCTCGTGTCTTTGTTCATTTTTTTCTGTGATGTTGCTTAATACGAGTTACTAAAAACTGTCTTAAGTAACTATGTTCAGATTTAATAATTTTAAATAAAAAAAACAAACAACCCAAAAAATAACAACAACAACAAGAGGTTCATTCTATTTTTATCTCTTACACTGACTGACTTGGTAAGGTATGTTTTTGTTTTTTTTTTTTTTTTTTTTTTACAGGAAATTTAAATCAATAACAATCTGTAGATCGTTGTAATGCTATCTTACTTCATTAGACCAGGAAGTTCTCAGTCATTATATTTTTACTTCCTTTAGTGTATTAACAGTAGCAACCAATCTAACACGGAATATCGTATTATGAATGTAGTACCAAGTAAACTATATACTGTAAAATACGATATCGCTTCCCCGGAAGGCAACAAAAAAACCCGGACATTAGGCGCACCTTAAATTGTTACATGTGTAAAAATGTCATCTAGAAGAATTTTATCGTGTGTTAATGATATTGAATTTCAACACTTTTGTTAGCTTTGAAATGAATAATTTATTGTAAGAAAAGCGATAATAATTTTAACATGAGTAAACTTTTCCCTAATACATATTGTATTTTATTATTATTATTTACAAGTATAACCAATATCAAGTCAGATTCTAAAAGCAGGATATAAATTAAGGCTATTTAAGTAAATTTTGTCTTCTTATCTAACAACCGTTTCTTTAATACAATAAGTAATATCCTCATCATATTTTACTTTAATAGTGTATACTCTAAAAGATTTTAAAGAAAAATTACACTAAAAAGGTTGTTTTTTATATTTAAATGAAAAAAAAAAAAATGCATAATGAATTACAAAATCTATTGTAACTGTGGGATTACAAAAATGTTTCAGTTAGATGACAGCGATTCCATTTATTTATTTATTCAGTCATTTATTTATTTATTTACACATGGATTTATTTATTTCTTCTCTCAATTATTCACTTATTTTTATTTCATATATATCACTGCTTTTGTTTTCCTTTTGATACTCTCATAAATTGATGATAACTCTGTATGAAACTTTTTTATTCTATTTATCTATCTATCTTAGATAATGATTGGGGGATGACATCGCTGATACACAATTTATATAGATTATATGAATGTTAATCAAAAGAGAGTCTGTTTATACAATTGATTTCTATGTGTCCATGAAACATCTATTAAATGTTTCCGTTATTCAACCGAAGCATTAATATTGGACTTATTTCAGAAATTGTATTTGGTTTTCATGTATCTTTCGTTCACGTCTTTTTCTACAATAGAAACATATAAAGATATGCAAAAATGTTACTTACTTATAGCTTTGTGAGTCAATAAGGCCTAATTAAAACAATTAATATAAAGATAGTAACTTGTATATTCTTTTGTTTTCTTTTTTTTTTTTTAATTTTGTTTTGTGTTCACTTCTCATTTTTTCTTCTTTGTTTTGTTTTCTTAATTATTACATTAATTCATTAACTATTTACATTAAGTGTTTTATTCATACCATGAGTGTAACACAACGCTTGAGGCTTTTCTCAATGTCTCTCTTAAATTCGAACGAAGACGAAGGCCACACAACTCCGCCTTCCATTAAGCAATAGGGGAAATCCAGTTTTAAATATAGAGTACCAAGTATAAAAGACAAATGAATACCAATTGCATTATGCTTTTATGTTTGAACACAAGACATATAGTCGATTAAATGTAGGTTTAAGAGAAAAATTATATAATATTATCAAAATGCATTCCGCATACGATTATTTAACTGTATTCAGAAAAACAAATTTTATCTCACAAAAAGTTGAAAAAAGATTAAATGATGCATCGGAAGTAATGAGAATGGTGCAGTGTGGTGATATAGGACCAGCTTCACATATCAGGGTTCACAGACAGCGTGCTCTTCGTTTTCTGTGGTGGACATTTGATTACAGTTATGATCACCACTTCTTAGTGACCGATGTACAGGAAAGTCAATTGACGATCATTCACTATGCACCGAAAAGGATTTCTATGATAATTCTGTTAAAAGGAGTAGCCGAGATCATTGAGGAGACTCTGGTGCCTGAAGACAAGGAAGGTATCCTTGATTTTACTTCTGGAGTATTTCTAGTAACGTGTGATTGTTACCCGGAGACACACAAACAGAAATCCGAGGCTGTAAAACGAGCCAAAAGACGCCTAGGGGAGAGACAATACTCAGTGTTTCACAATAACTGTGACAGTTTTGTATCGTGGACACTAGTGGGAAATTCCTACTCTCACCAAGCAATGAATGCTAAGGGATTACTTTTTTGTATTGGAATATGTGCTCGGTGTTGCATTAGAATTTATAGGACGCTGGCATTAATTAAGGACGGTTTTAAAAATATTGTTCGTTTAAGGTAATAAAGATGTTTTTTTAATATAAATATACTGCATATGATATACGTTTTATTATACCAACTGAGTATGATGCATTCAATATGAAATCCATATGTGATTTTTGTTGTAATAAAATACCTTTTCCGACTAAAAGAGTATTCAGCTTTTGATGTTGGAAATCAATCTTTGATCAAATTTCTATAAATACTTGAAAAATACCTCTCTAACCGCTCCAAACATCATCTATAGAGCGGGAAAGGAATATTTGATATCACTTTTCATGAGGAAGTATATTCCTCACTGTTTTACATACATGTAATTATCATATAAACGTTGCAATAAAAACAAGTTCTTCTATCAAAAAGTAGCAATGTTCAGAACTTTTTTAAAATTAGATTTTGTTTGTGTTTATTTTTATTTACGCATTGTCCTTTTTATTTTTATTTCTTTGATTGTATGCTTTTCAGTTGTTTACTTTTAACGCTTTTACTTTCATGTGAACGAACAGAACATAAAATACCTATTAACTGTGAAATTTTAAAACTAAAAAGGTTTGTTATTATTCAAATAACAAAATAATACATGTATATCAGAGTTACATTGTACATGCACATGCGAATAGAAGTATTAAATAATCATTAATATTCCAGCTGTGAGGGGCTTTTTTGAGTGGATTTAGCTCATCGACTAAAACAGTAAATGATGTTACTAGATAATTAAGGCATATTTGATACATTGTTGATTGCTTTGTCTTTCCAATAAAAGTTGAATATATATTTTTGTGTGTTTCTATCAATGGCACAATCTATGATACAAAGCTTAGAAAATAATGCACATTATATTAGAATGGATGCAGATAAAAGCAGTGTAGGGAGAAATAAGAGGAAATCAGAAAAATTATATTTAATTAAAGGTTGTTTTTTTTTTTAAATTTATTCAAGAAAAGCAGAGTGATACATAATTACATGATGTATACGGAGTTAATGTCTCCCAAGTGATTCGAAACGCAAGAACACTCTCTTCGAACGAACAATTTCTAAAACGATGCAAGCTATTGACAAGTAAGTTGATGATACAAGGATATCAACAGTCTCGTTTAAAGTCAAATTTTGCAATTTCTATGTTCGATAAAATTACCCTACATGTATCAGCAAATACAATCTATTTTTAAGTCGAATGTTTTCTGACTTTTTTCGTTCAAATTGTTAAGCCATTATTTTCACATTAAAATTGTTTACGGATTTTTCCAATTTGATGATGCCAAAGAAAAAATCTCATAATAATAATTTTTCTTATATAAATCTTACGATATAAACTTTAATTTATAACTTCAACCTCCTTTGTCTATGTATAAATATATCAAATCACCTGCATATAGTCGTTTTGACTCCCCTGTTAATTCGATCTGTCATGGCATGGTCTTCGTACAAAACACTTTGAAACGAAGAAGGATATTGACAGATAAATCGACGATAAAAGGACTTATTACATTTTCAACAATGAAATGCTGTGATTTATTGATTGAACAAAAGTGATATCCTGTAACACTGTGAAAGGATACCAAAGTGATATTCTGTCACAGTGTGAAAGGAAATCAAAGTAATCTGGCCTCTCATAAGAAAGACATAGTAACTAAACCATATTGATGGAGACTAAAACTGACTATTTCTTCCCAAATATGTTGCTAAAATCCATGTTACCACGTTTTTAAGGAAGCGATTGCAAGGCGTCACGTGATCGACTCATGTGATGTTTAAAAAAAGAAGATTTACGGTAACCATTTCCGGAATAACAGCTGAATAAGGAGCGTGATTATGATTGCGCACATGACAAAAGATCTTCGTGGCAATATTTTTAAAACAGAGAATAAATATGTGATGTTGCAGAGTGTTGGTGAGCGTGACGCGGATCTACATCTATGAATAGATATTCATTTCCTAGAAGCTTCAGAATGCGTGATTTTCTCAGTGATTATAATGAATATAGGCCTATATGGATGGACAGATAAACGAATGCGATTTTCATATATTCGTGTATAGACCAGTAATTTGAGGTCGCATGCTGGACATGAACGTATTTTTAAAAATATTGCAGAGGATATTGTTTTCCTCTGTAAGATCTTCTCTAGCATTTTCAACTCTTACATCGACCATGTAAACATTGAATCGTCGGCACATTATTGCGTAAACATTTGTTGTGGTAAAATGTTTTATGCGTCGTATTTGGTAAAAACTTAAAACTTAAAACACTTCTTCTGACAGAAAAGAAAAGTTTCTTTTTGCAAGTTTTCACAAATCTAGCAAAAAAATACGCATGTAAGAATGACAGACGAAACTAAGAGAGGTTAATTCTGACAATCGAGGTACTACAGAGGTACCAGGTATACCAGAGAGAGAAAATTATTTTGAGCATATACATGTATAAAAAAAAACCCCAAACATTTCAACTCATCATGCTCACGGGAATATATTTGAAAAATGAATTAAATTTTTTAAAATTCACGAGGACATGAACAAAGACGCTTCACATCAGCATATTTCATGAACCGCGTGAGCATGAAGCGCAAATTTATAAATGTCATTCTACGATTATTTTTGAAACAAAACAGTTTGCACTATAGTTTTGACGTCAAGTGTGGCATTATGACGTCACAATGGAGATATGTAGGCTTACCTAGTTCATGAGAAAATGAATTGTTTTCTAACTTGCAATGAATCTGAAGGAAAAATATTTGCAAATGTAAATATTAAATAGCAAATCACTAAAATCTGTCAAATAAGATAATAGCTAGGATTTTTATATACGATATATATTGCAGGTACAAGTTCTCTGAATCTCTGAAATAACCTATTCATTCAATGTGTTCAAGTGACTGCCCCCCCCCCCCCCCCGCCTTTCCGATACCAAGTCACAGTGCAGAAAACTCGATGAGTGTTCAGAGCATGAACAATTTGGCTTTTAGACCACTGTGCACTGGTTTAGAATGTATATACTTATATTGATATAATAACGGAATGAATATTTTGGAGATGGGGAAATAAAAAAAAATATGCATATTGTTGTTTTTTGTGTACATGATACTTATATCATTCTGCTATCATTCTGCTCTACGTATAAAATGAGCAACCACCACAAGATTTTCAGGAAAAAATATTTATTAATCTATACGTATTTTCTATAGTTTTTTATTTTTTTTTATCAGATTATGCATATTAAAGGTTCAGCAACAAACCATCAGATTAAAATTCATGAACTTTTAATATTTTAGGAAGGGGGGGGGGTATTGAAATGCATGTAGCTTAAAAAAGAATGTGATGATCCCACTTCATATTTTAACCATAAGTCACTTATAATAATTGTTACAAAATATATTAATTTTAGGAAAATTCATTGGGCAATTTTTTGTCAAGACGTTGAAAACTGCTCTTGGGGTGAAAATATTACTGCAAATTTACAATGACTACTCCCCAAAGCAACTGTGGCATTAGTACACCTATCAATAGTTTCCGATACAATTTTTATTTTCGATGAATTTAAAGCATATTATTTAATATCTGGCGAAAATTATTTAATTTGTTTCAATTTTGATACCTGTATGGCATACTAAAAATTTCACTACATAAATATCAAAATATTGAAAAACGGTGGTTACCATGGCAACCATATCTTCCTTATAACCTTGATGACCATGGTTGAAATTTTCATATTATGATTCCATTAACGTAAGGCAAATTATATGTAAAAATGAGAAAAATTCATAGAGCGGATTTTTTTCATGTACCCTTGCAATCTCTTCCTTAATCTCACAATATTGCTTCTCTATGACGTCTAACCGCTCAACTATGACGTTACACTCTACGACAATGTGTAAAGAAAAGATAGAGGTAAAGGGAGATAAAAAAATATAGTAAACAGAAAATTCAATGTGCTGTAGGTGGATATGGAATTTATTTTACGAATAGGACAAGAATTCTTAAATTTTCACGAGTGCGAAGCACAAGTGAAAATAACAAAACATCCTGTCTCACGAGTCCATCCAGTCTCACTTGTCGAACTTTAAGACATTGAATATCCTCTTTATCATCAATCTCATTTGAAGTCAACATTTTGCAAATTCTATAATCGATACTATTATTTTGTTTGCAAATAGAATCTGACGTTTTTCATAGGAATTTTTTGCCATAATTTCCGATACTGGATTGACTATGGATATCTCCATTTACCCAGTCATGACAAAGATCTCACAATGGGTATGACCTGTCAACAGGGAGTGCTTACTCCTTCATGGCACCTCATCCCGACTTTTATACTTTTAGGGGTCTGTGTTTACTCTGCTTACAAATAGTTTATTGTTTCAATTGACTTTTGAGCTTTATTGCTGTTCGTTATCATTATATTTCTATCAACATTTTCTGAGTTGTACTCAGTACTTTGAATAAGCAATATACTGTGCTTGAAATGCTTACTTAAACTGACCAAACTAGAAGATGTCCTGAAGTTTTCAAATAAATTATTCTAAGAATGACTAGTTGCAGTGTTGATTGCTGGAACATCTAGGTCTTTCATCAGATGAAGCGCAGCGAACAAAATGTGACAGAACTCGTCATTGTTCACGATAATTACAAAATGTCACCCCTTGCGCGCTTTGCTTTTTAACTTCAGTCAAATCTCGTTATCTCGAACTCATGATACCGAGAAAAATATTTGAGATATCATAGGATTCGAGATATCCAGGGTAACATACTTAAGGAATAAGGGGCTGGGACTTCTGAATCACTTCGACATGTCCATAGTATTCGGGAAATCAGTGTTCGAGATACCGAAGTTCAACTGTATTTTCATTAGATACAGAACAGGAAGCACGTTGGCCAAAAATGTTTAATTTTTTATATCTTCCTTGATAAATTCAATGAAAAAGCTCCATTTTTAGACTACTTCCGGTACGCATCCAAACGTAACCCCCGTAAAAACTTCTGTGTCAAACAGGTAACCTATCATCAAACGTCTATTTACAAACAAAGTAAAATTATAGAAAATTGTGATCTTATGAATTGAATACAAAATATCATACATAAAATACATTATACCTAAAACATTTAATGCATTAAATAAATGATACATTAATATTAAGACGATCTATCATCCTTGAAAAAGAAATCCCACCCCATCTTGACTGAACATCGAACTATTTCAAAGAAAATGCATGGACAAATTTAAAATGACAAAAAGAATACATTTTTGTAATTTGTAATCTGAACACGCCTAGTGTTAAAAAAAAGCTAGTTTTGCTTGTTGATATGCCCGAAGTTTCTGATTAAATTGATCCCTGCAACTGTCATTTAGGTGTGAACTTACACTGTTTTTAGTAATTTACACCTTAATCTAATTTCGTCGCATATCTCTAAATACTTCTTCGTTATTGACAGAAGCAGATATGTTGGAGAGTTTAATCATCATATTTGTTATTTAAAATTGTTAGGACCTTAGATCACTAATTTTAAAAGGTCCTAAATTTAGGGAACCCAGATCCTTCAACTGGCGTAAGAATTTCATAAATATTATGGATTCTGTAGAGGACTACGCCAGGCGATGGGCCAGACGTGAAAAAGAAGACCTTGACACTTTGTCAGAATGGATTAAATGTATCAGATGTATGTTAAAATCGCGCATTAAAAGATTGAGAGGCAATATGAAAACCATCTATCCTTCTGTATTCAATAATCCAGAAGTGAAAAAAGAATTAGATAGATTACATGATCAGTACGTACTGGTCCCT